TTATTCAGCAGAGTCTAATTAATCCCCTTTCCACATTACTCTCTGTTGTATGCCATATTCTCTACATTCTATGTTCTCTTGTTTGCTACATGAAATTAGCATGCATGTCATACTTCATTTCACATGTTGTAGATCATATATGAGATGTTACCTAACGTAGATTATGTAATCATTGCATGTTACGTATTGTATGCCATCTTTGATAATATTGACCATGCCATACTGAAAACTATTTCTCGTGTCATATACAGTTTAGAATGTTTTGAAAGCATGTTGTCTATTGTGTATGTTAGGTTTATGTATATATGTCGTTGCTTTATTGTATAGAACGTCTGCGTGTTTTACAAATATGTTATATACAAAATATGGTATGTGCTATACATAGCACATCACACACATGACAGTTAGACTCAGTTAGACTATATTCCAAGCATATACTACATATTCTGTATTGTACAACCTACGTCTTCATATCTTAAACCTTCATACCATCTATGACATACCCTGTAACACACATCGTACTTTATGTTGTAAACACATGTTACACATGAGATACACACATAGAGATATGTAGGGTACATGTATACGCACATGCAGACGTCTGTGTGTTTATGTTGTAGCTAACGTATTTACAATATCCCTCTCTCTGTGTCTATGTCTATGTTTATGTCTATATATATATATGTATGTATATACATATGTGCTTTAGTATCTTGAGGTTTGTCGGCCAATCCTGGCAATGCGGCCTACAGTGCCTGTGAGGAGGAGGCTTCGCCGTTAAACAGCAAGCTGGCATGTTGTCTGGACTAAAGCTCAGAGTGCCTGCTAGTAGCCATACGGCACTTAGCATCCTTCATGCGCTGCATTTGCCAGCTTGGACGATGCATTTTTACTGTACAGTAGCTAGGGCTTGCTATGCTCCAGGGCAAGTTGGAGGAAATTGGTCGCAATCACGAGGCTGCCATTGCCTCCTCCTGCCTTTCTTCCATATGTGAAACGACTGGAGGCGCATGCGGTGAGAGCCCTCAGCACGCATCTGCCAGTCTGAAGCCGTTCTGTGTGGAAGGTGAACTGCCGATGTATCTCTCCGGAGATCATTTCCTCGGTTCTGGAGTCACGCCGCTGCGAGACAGTCAGGCCAAGGACTGGGGACGGACAGCCGGCATGAGAATAAGCATGGGGGCCCCTTGAACGTAAGTTGCTGCGTACGAAATGCTCACCATACTGTTTGTTGTCAGTTTGCGGCAGTTGCTGTCGAAGGTGTGGCCGGGATATGTCGGGATGTTTGTGTTGCTGTTATGGCTGCTCGCTCTCATTGGTTTCGCCAGTGTAACGGCAACTTTGTGCATGCTTTGTTTTCCGTGCCTCTCTTACCACTCTTGCGTTGTTTGGCAATGCCGATAGGCTTGTAGAATTTTCCTTTGTGCTCGTGCTGATGACAGTAGAGTAGATGATAGTGGACGTGGGTGCTATTGTTTTGTTTGTTGTGAGTTGTGTTCTGCGTAATTACCGAGCATCGCAATACTTTTTTCCACATTCCTGCAACTTGCGGCAAACAGTGGTATGTGCACATCATCGGATGGCCACCAGGGCGTGTCGAAGAGTTGGCGTCGTCGGCGCAGCATAATCGGGGGACACTGGGAATGGCAGCATCGGTCTGGCACATGCGCTCGTCAGCTCAACCACGTGCTGCTGTGACATGTCACCAACCATTCGAAATTCAGCCACTGTGGTCTGGAGGAGTTACTCGAGATTCTGATTCGAACTCCGTCGATAGCAGTGAACCCGGCTTACGTGCTTACCTCAGCAACAACTGTTGCTGCTGTTGACACGAAGCTGTCCGGACACAGGTCACAAAGCTCAGGGGCTCTACCCTCTTTACTGAAGCAGGACCCCCTCCGCAAGCACGCAGAGAAGCCTGTGCCAGATCAAGAAGCATGCTTGAGGACGCAGTGATGTGACCATTCCGCTCATCCTGTCCTCTCTCACGGTCTCGCCGAAGGTGCTGCATGCTGTGCCACTCTGTTTCCCTGTCTTGTCGAACCTATAACCCCCTAGCCTCCTAGACCGCTTTTTTTAGGGGTGTCCTGAATTGAATCTGAACTGAAAGCCCTAACCGCTAAGCCCTAAACCCCTAAACGGCCCTAAACCCTAAACTCTGAAGGCGAACGCCAGAGGTCAGCTTGCAATTGTTGTCCGTGAGCAAGCCAGCTGTGGAGAGCTCAGGTTTCTCCGGGTTCCGTGCGTCTTCCTGCAATCATTGCTGTTATTGTTCTTATGATATGCTTGTTGGCACTGCTGTTGTTGTTCTTATTGCTGTTCTTCGTATTGTTGTTGTTATTATGACTATTTCTATTTGTATTGTTCTCATGATTTCCTGACTTCAAGCTTCTCGTGATGCTAGTATTGGTCTTACTGTTGTTATTGTTGTTCTGGTTATTGTCAGCATGACTTTTGTGACTATTCGTGCTATGACTGTTGTTGTGATTCTGGCTATTGCTATTAAGATAAGTGTTGCTATTATGATTATTGCTTTGTCATTGCTATGGTTATTGTTAATGCACTACGGTTATATTATTGCTGTGGTTATGATTGTTGTTGTTGTTGTTGTTGTTGCTGCTGCTGCTATGGTTTTGATTATGAGTATTGGTTTTGCGTTTATTACATATTAGTATTGATAATTATACTATACTTCTATGCAGACGTATGGTGCAACTGTCCTCAGGTCCCAACTTATCCGCCTCCATCGACAGGCGTTCAGCAAATCTCCTTGGCTCTGTTAGGAGTAGCTTGTGCTCCTCCAGGTGTTGGCTTTTCCAGATAGATGCCAGACGGTCCGTCGTGGCACACACTATCGACAAGTTGTGCGCAGCAGGCCAGGGCAGGGATGGTGCCAGACTGTCTGCACGCTAAGTTATTTCTGAAGGGCGAAACTTGTTAGGCGCAGTCCTGGACACCGTCCTGGACCCTGTCCAGCATGTACAAGCTTCTTGTGCGCATTAGGCGGACGAACCGCAGTACCGACTTTATTCACTATTCTTAATTACCTGTCCAACAAGGTGAGTGATACTTCAAGGGCTCGGGTGTACAACACTCTCGTTGCGCCGCTCTTGCAGGACTCTTGCATGCACGGAGAACGGATGCGCGCATGGTCCTTCCGCACATTCCTACATTGGCCGTCCTGCCCAGGAGCAGACTTACATCGAAAAGGGGGGGCATAGCGTTATGAAGGATGACCAGAGCGGGGTCCTCAGAGCAGCCCGGCCATGCGCCAAGGGTGCACTCATGGCATGGCATGGCCCCTTTGAGGTGCAGGAACGCCCATGTCGACACCCCAACTCCAACTGACTTCATTGCCCAGTCTCTTCAACAGTGGCTCGGCGAAGTTCCGAAGTAGCTCGCTGCGGTTCAGTCGCTGAACTGTCGGTAACCTCCAAGGTATTCAAGGTCAACCTGACTTGCGAGCTGTCAAAGTTTTCAAGGCATGCTCGGACTTGTGAGATTGAGTGCTTTATCGTCGACCAAGCAGCGGTAGGAATGCTCTCAGTGTTCTAACGATATCCGTCGTGCGCATGTCCCAGTCAAAGAGATATTTGTTCAGATTCCCAAGCCAAGCTCTTTGCTTGTCATGCAGGTGCTGCAGGCACCACCAGGACTGCACACGGAGGGCAAGGCATCAGACCGTGCTTCACAAGCTTAGAACTTCCAGCAGGACAGTCGGCTTCAACCGGTGAACCTCCCAAGGCCACGCAGCCGCGTCCAGCTTTGCCGAGAGATTCCAGTACAGGGTAGATACCATGTACTCAGCAGTCCTATATAGTCCAGGAAATTGCTCGGGAGCTGAAGATGCTTGCTCTCGCACAAAGTCATAGAGCGATACTTTCCCTGCAGCTTGTCTGCATGCATCTTCCAGTCGACTTGACGATAGTCGAAGTCAAGACTTGCTGCGGAGTGTTGCTTTAGGTAAGCCTGGCTCAAAGCAAGTCACTGATGAAGAGCGCTCGTCTTGTTATAGTCTTGCTATGCAGTCAAGCATCTGAGGCATGGGCTTGTAAGGGTGCCTGCTGGATGGGCACTGCTTACGGAGTGGTGCCATGCGGGCTCCTTGCGACTTGCCTCTCACATTTGGAGGTCCCCAGCACCTGCGTTGAAGTCCAATTGTCTCAGAGAGAGAAAGCATCAGAGAGCTGCCCCAATGGCTTCCCGAGGCTGACGTGTCCTGAAACAGCTGGGTTGCTGGTTGATGCACCACTCTCCTAAAACACGGTCATTGGGTAGCCCACGACCTGCTGTTTGACACCTCAGGTTGCAAAGTTTGACCGCGGAAGGCAGGCAGTCCGAAGGCCAAGCCATGCGGCTGCAGAAGCAGCTTCTGGCTGGAATCCGGCACCTTCACCAGCGAGGCCCATTTTCAAGCTTTCGCATAGGTCGCTTCCTAGAAAGAGAATCTGAAAGCAAGTGTGGCAGGAATTGTTCACAGAGACGTGAAGCTCGCCCCTCGCTCTGACTGCAGATCTTGCGATGCCGGAGTCGAAGCCGTCGAAGCTGTCGGAGCTTCAACTTGTCTCAGGACAGCATCCTGCTGCACTCGAAGAGCAAGCTCGTGCTGTCTGGATTCGCTCTTGCTGCTCCACTGTGCGAAGCAAGCGAAGCTACGGAGCCGGCTGGGCAGCCTAGCACCGAACCGGCTTTGCGAATCGTTGCGGTCTTTGAAGCCAGCCGGGTCTGCGTCAGCCGCCTATCCGCCTTTCAGCTTCCATTTCAAGCTAGCATGAGGTCGGAACAGTTGGCTACATGGCTCCAGAGGCCACGCAAAGGAGACTGGAATACAGCGCTTCGCGGGAGACTTGCGACTTGTGCAGATGTGTGACAAACCAACGGACGAGAAGCGCGCGCAATTCGTGTAGCTTGCATCCGTCTCCGCCACACCATCACCCCCAAAATGAGATTGATCCTCAACATTGCCTTTGTAAACTCTTCTGGCACGACGTGTCGGCTGTCTGTTCTACAACTGCGCACACGGTGGCGCCAGCAGCCAAGGCTATAGAGCACAGAAAACACAGAAACCGGAGGCAACATCGGAAGATAGGTAAAACAAAAACCCCAACAGGATGGCCTAAGGATGGCTAAACCCTAAACCCCTAAACCCTAAACCCAAGAGGAGATGGCCCTTAAGGAGGATGGCCTGAGAGGATGCTCAGGGAAAAGAGAGCTCCTCTCTCTTTCTCGCAGGTGATTCGAAGAGGGTTCTTATAAGAACCCTAAACCCTAAAACCCTAAAACCCTAAAGCCCTAAACCCTAAGCCCTAAGCTCGCTCTCTCTCTCTCTCTCTGTATCTCTCCCTCCCTTTCTCTTATTTTGCAGGTGATTCGCTACACGCCGGCCTTGGAGCCCGCAGATGTCTTCGCTGCAGGCGGGCGGGGGTAGGGCGACCGTAGGGCGACCCAGAGTCGGAGTCCTGAAGTTTCTCCTCTCTAAAGCTTATAAACCCTCTAAACCCTGAGTAAACCTTAAATAAACCCTAAATAAACCCTAAATAAACCCTAAATAAACCTTAAATAAACCCTAAATAAATCCTAAATAAACCTCCTAAATAAACCCTAAATAAACCCGATAAGCCCCGTAGGCAGTATAAGCCCTATAAACCCTGAAATTATAAGCTATAAACTGTTTATTCACCGAGCCAGGGTCGATTGGTGATGCTAAAGTCAGAGTTCAATCTTCTGTAGAGTGCAGCTCTCTCTCTCTCTCTCTCTCTCTCTCTCTCTCCTCTCTCTCCCTCTCTCTCTAGCTCAAGCACGGATTCTCGGCGACTGCAGGTGTTGTGCTCTATACCCTTCTGCTTGGCCAGCAACCTTTCGGTGCAGAAACGCCAGAAGAGCAGACCAAGTACAGGACAGCTTGCACGGAGGCAACGTCATCGTATTGTATGCCCGTTTTCCTCCTGATTAGCATTGTGATGTCAGATGCCGATCAAGTGTAACGATATGCCATTTCGTGGAAGAAGCTGCTAGAGTGCAAGCTTGCTGTGCCATGCCGAGTCTTTTCAGCATTTACGAGATCTCCTTCCCGCCACACGAAGCAACACCTCTTGTGAAGTTCGTCAGGCAGACTACAGTGGACTGATATTTCAGCATCTTGGCATCTGATGTCCTAACGATTCGAATCCTTCGGTTGTTATCCAGTTGCCTCCAAAACTCATTGAGGAATGTCAGTGGCCTTTGCCACTCTCTGCTGAAATCCCTTCTGGAGAAAGATCCGGTCGAACGGCCTACATCGCTGGCGGCCGTTGAGGCAGGAAAACAGGGAGGTACATGTCCAATGTAGGTATGGCATGGCACAGCCACAGCTTTGGTCTCAGGTCATTGCTGTAGAGGTAACATTGGAACATCCTTGCAGTTGCTGCAGAGTCTCAGCACGTCTGGTTTACTGAAGGACGACTGGTTTCAGATGGATCCCAAGAAGCCCATGAGAACAGATGCCGAGGCATGCGCTGAACCGTGCTTAGATTTTTCAGTCCTGTGTGCTGTCCGTTCAACAAGACCTCACTCATGCAGCATGGATGTGCCCCTGCACCCCGCTGCAGGCGAAGTCACCCATGTCACCTGTCGTGGGCGCCTGTAGCTGCACCGGGTCTAGGAAGTCCTAGGCTTGTGCTGGTGAGTTCCACAGTGTCACCTGAAAGTACCCGTTGCTTGATGACGACACAGTAACACACAGTATGTCTCAGCGCAGATTAATGCGGAAAGGTCGGTCGTTGGGCTACCCCCGTGGATTTCTGTGCCAAGGTGAGCGACGAAGGAGATCTGGCTTGGATATGTTTCGGAGAAGGCCAGCATCTCAACCTCAATAGGAACTGCACCTGGTCCGAGAAACATGCCGCTCAGTGCTACAGATTCTTCCAGGCGGGGGCACTCTTTCTCGGCAAGCCTGACGAGGCAATGGCATGGGTTTCAGGAGTAGGGCTTACATACTTATATATATATATATATATATTTATTTATGTATGCTACCCCCCCCTCCAGAATCCGCGCATCTACTG